TACCTAACCGGCTCCAGAAAATGCCCAAAAGATGAGGCTGTATCCGCCTTCTGGAGTCGTTGCAGGAGTCTGAAAGGCAGACACACATGTTCATTCGCGTGGCTGTGGTTTTGTGAGGCTTAGGCGACGATGAGATCCTTCGTCACTACAAGACGCAGTTGAAGGAGAAGCTTCGCCGAATTACTGAGCGAGCGCTAGAGGAGAACGAAGTAAGTAGACCCATTGAGCGTAGTTTGATACTCTCTTGTCCCCCTTCGCTGTGTCTAGTGATCCTTTTGTTCCACAAGACCGCAAGACCAGGCTGTTCTTTCGGTATTTCGTACGGGGTGTGAATGGAAATGGCAAATTAGTCTTCTTAATTGCAACTGATTTGAGCTTCATCAAGAACCTCTTGCGCTTCTGGGCTGCTACGAAAGTTTGTTTAGTTATGGCGCGATGATTGCGGATTGTCTTCAGAGGCACGCAGAGTGGAAGTGCAGACAAAAGGCAAAACTCCTCAGCGACAAGCTTGGCATAGACCAAAAAATAAACGGGAAGTTGTACATGGACCTACAAGCGCTAAATGACGACCTCGCTCTGCTACGCCAGGAGCAAGTCTCCAGCATTTTTAGGATAATCTCCCCACTGGAGCTGCTGGTTTGTTGGCAAAACCTGAAAGGGGGTTTTAACGCACCAGGCAAAGGCATACCTGTTATTTTATGTACGTTGTATGCGATACAGGTACAATGCAGAGTCGCGTGGCCCACAACATGTTCATCAAGCAGTCCTGAACGACTACATTGACCAACTGTTGTCTAAGGGTGCAAAGGCCGTTGCCGATGCCCTCAAAGATCTGGCGCGAGACTCAGAGGTGCGGTTCCTTCTGTTGTTTAACTTTCTGTACACTTCTGCCTTCTATAATTCGTTCATTTGTCGTTGTTTGTTTCATGTGCGTGTTCATGCACGGCTGCCTTCGCAAGTGATCCCTTACAACGGTTGCAACTTGATTTCTACGCGTTGTTCAGCGCACCGCTGCTCTGCTGCACCAAAAGACGATGGATGCCGAGCGGAAGAGTGATAAGGCCGTGAAGCTTGAGCAGGAGTTACAGAATAAGGACTTGTAGGGAAATATGGAAAGATTTACTCATATTCGCTGGGCTTTTCTTAGCTTGTTTCGGAGCGAATGCCTGGACTTGAGCGTGAATGCCTGTGTTGTGGAGGTGCTCCGGATGTCGCTTGTGCTGTTCTGTCTTCTTAGCGAAGCTGAGCAACTCCGCCGAGAGCTGGAGGATGAGCGAGAGCAGCAGACACTTCAAGAGGAACGCCATAAACAGTGAGCTACACCCTGACTTACATAGTTGACACAAGTCTTCTTTGCCGCCCTTCGCTTGCTGGTATTATTACCTTATTATTGAGGTAATAATAAGATTATCTTATCTTGCCAAGGCACCCCTTGATATTGATTTGTGCTGCTTTATTGGCAGGGAGACAAAGGAACTGCGTCGTGAATTAGCAGAACAGCGCGAAACCAACCAGCGGCTGAGTGCCCTCTACCACTCACGAGTAATGGACGAAGATGATGGATACCGCTTTGGCGTGCGCCGCAGCAAGCACAGCGCAGTTGGCTTAAACGACCAGCCTCGTTGCTTTGGAAACAAGTGCACAATCATGTAAACTGAACCTGATTGAGATTTCAAGCTGGCCATTGGTGGTGGAGGCGATGTAGCCGTCAGTGTCCATGCAGCCACCAGGACGTGGCCATCTGCCTGAATTGATGCTTTTTGACAATGGATGCATCTCACTTTGACTATATGTTGAGCTTCACTTCAGTGGGCATGCATCGGCGTTCCACTTGTACACGGTGTGCAATCACCCCTCTTGTACGCTAGAGTGACTCGATATTTGACTTTGTTTTTGCATTGTTTGGTGTTGACTGAATATGTAGATGCTCCGATGGGCCACTTGGCACTCAGGGTACTGCTTTCAAGACTTCTAGTTTCCAGTGCCGTGAAAAGGTATCTTGTAGCCGTCACGAATGTTCCTATAGGGCAGCCTGAAGCTCACTGTGGATAGCCAGGCAATCAGTTGTTTTGCATCTGGAACCCAAGTGAAGCAGAGCTTCCCCCTGGCCTTCTGGAAAGCTCAGGGGATCGGCTTGCCTCTTAGAGTATATATGCTCACTAGGCGACGTTGAAGGGGACATACAAATGTATGTATGGCGCATATCACTTCCGCGCCAGAATTTGAGTTAGCTAGGTTCTTCTGTTAACGGCTTTTTTGTATCTTACTCAATCACACAGACACTTAATTCTGCGCACGGACCCAGAGAGCGCACTATGCGTACCGCTTCATCAGTTCAAAGGCTCTCTGTTTGAAACCTCCGGGGCCGGCCAAGTGAAGTTAGGTTTTTGGCAATAGAGTTAATCCAAACTGAAATCAGCTAAAGCTGTGAAAGCCAACCGCCAAAAACTGCGCAGGGCTCTGTCAGCTGTGGCGGAGCCCTGTATTTTTTGTTCGTTAGGCCATATACATGCTGTACGACTGTCCAGAGAATCCTTTTTCTTGGCAGTTTGGGGTTTCGGGAGCCTCATCATGGTTAATAAGGAGCATTAATGGTTTCGGCCCCTTGGTATGTCCTCGATACAACGGGCGTGCATGGTAGGTTGCTTCGGTGGAGATTTTGGTAAAACGCGAGACGTTGATCAAAGTTT